TTTAGGAAATGTTCTTCTACAGGTAATAATCTTTCATGGGGAGCCGACTTGATCCGATTCCGATAAAGATTAATTCAGTAAAGAATGGGCCATTCAGATTGTCTCATAATTTCTTTCTGGCATACTGTGCATTCGAATAAGTAAATAATTATATGAATTCTAGAGCTAGAGTTGTGGTAGATTTTGAAAATAAATTTAGTGAGTGAGTAGTGATCGAATTGCTATGTCTAATGTGGTTACAAAAGGATCCTCTTGTTATTACATGGTTGGGAAAATTGTTTTTATTATTGGTTAATTACGAGTTACCATATCATATGAAATTTATATTATATATATATATATATATATATATATATATATATATATATATTCTACATATATATACTCTACTCTGTATTGAGCACTCTTTTAAGAATAGTAATTGTTGGCTATTGGAATATATTCCGTATACACCAATCCTATACTTGTATATATATATATGTATGTGTGTGTGTCTGTTTGTGTGTGCGTGGAATTAATGGAATTATATCATTTATAGGACATATTTTAATACTTAGTTATTTTAGAGGATTTTCGCATTTGAATAGACAAGTATTCCCCACAAAATTTATTTATCCAGCTCACTCGATTTTACAGACGAAATGAACATATATATATATATATAAGGGGCAAGTTTGTAAATTGCGTGCGAAGTGCCTGATTTGATATACAGAGCTTATCACTACGTCCGAGTCTCCTTTCGTTTACAACAATGATTCAAAATTTTAATAACTATTTCTTGCTCCTGGCAAATATGAGATCTGAAACTTATTGTATTTATTTCTGTATCTGCTTCGGGCTGATGTAAAGTTAATCTGTTGACGATGTCGTCTTCCTCTTTTATTCATATAATAAATAGTGCAGACAGTCTCACCGGATTTGTTAGCTGTAATGAAAATATTTTGATATACTGGACGTTTAAAAAAAAAAAAAATTTTCCAGATTTGTATAGCGCAGAAATATTTAGCTTTTGCTAGGATGTCTTTGGATTTATAACGTGAACACACACAAAAAGACTATGTATCCAATAATAACTTTATCTACAATTCAGATATTTATCAAATCATGAATTCATATGCCAGCCTTTTATTGTCCAGATATTTTTCTATATATCTATTTTTTTTATAATTTCACCCCAAACAAGGCAATAAAGCCACTAAGTAGCAATGGGTTACTGAATGTTAGAGAATATGAGGAAAACACTATTAAGGAGAGAGAACATTAAAAGAACAAAAATAAACTATACACGAGATAATGATTGACATTGCATTTAGAAAAATATAAAACAACATACGGTGTTTGTAAAGTGATTGAATGCAATATGTCAAGTCTGGGTAAAGAACAATCTTATTTTATTTCTAACTGATTTTTATCAAGAATCTCTAAATATATAGCAGGAGAACCTCCATCTTTTTTTCTGAATTATAATGCCAAAAATTACAGACAGTGGATATTGTTCCACACCCGACCATAACGAAATGGAGTCTGACAGATATACGCCTGTACGTCGCAATGTGGTGTAGCTATGACATAGTAGATGCTGCAGATATTGACCAGTGTAATGAGTGGACAACGTTTGATCATGAGATATTTAGTTTTACTCATACCCAATCCAAATTACGAGAGTTTTTTGTTTTTTTTCCGTTTCACCACAGGCAAGGCGGAAATGCCACTAAGCCACAAGGGGTTACTGGGTGTGGAAGAATTAGGAACAGAAACATTAATAATGAACAGGAAGAGAAAAGAGTAATTAGCAGGGCAGTAGATTGCGATTGACATTACATTTAAATCTTTAAAGATTAAAGTTGTCCGGAAAACATGAAGTCGGAAGGAAGTTCCACAAACGAAAAGAGCGAGAAAAGAAACTGTTTGCATCGAATTTACGGTTACATCTCGCCAGCTCAAATGCAAATTGAGGTGATCTTGATGCCAGTCTAGTACTGCGCTTAAATCCAAACAGTCTAGGTACCATAGCGAAGAGCTCATCCAAACACTTACCATAAAAGTTTTTTTTTAGAAAAGACACAGAGAGGTAACAGTGGTAAAAGTAACTAAAGCCGAACCGCCAGATCAAGACCAATAATATTACTGATTCTTCTTTGGGTTTTATAAAGGATCTCAAGGTAAATTGCAGAGGCACATGGACCATATGGGACAGCAATATTCTAAAAATGGACAAATAGTAGACATATAGGTATGTATTTCTGGAGGGAAAAATTGTCTCGCACGAAACAGTGAACCGAATTTCTTAGTAGATGGCCTAGCAATGGATTCAATATAGTTTTTTCATTTCCTTTCAGCAGGGAACATTGGCTCGAGAAGGCGTAATCTCGAGGATTACAGTCAAAATGGAATTGGGTAAGAAGAGACAGTGGAAAGAACGTTTGACTGTTGACTTTAAGTGACCAAGATCAAATATTGGTGGAAGCACTTACATGGGTACATGTTCCCCAAAATATCACTCCTCGGAAGAAAAAAAAAACATTCAGAATGGAACTTCCTTCTTCCATTCGGAACACAGGAAATAAATCCGAGGAAGGAACATGGTGTGTCCTAGCAGTAAAAGTTAGCGCGCGAATGATGGGATGTACGATTGCCCCTGTGTCTCAACAATAGCAAGTTTAAACCAGAAAAATGTAGGCTCCGAAGGAGACAGAAAGTACATCCACCAATGACTGACAAGAGGAAAATTGCATCAAATCTAATCCCAGTGTGAACATGTTGTCACTTAATACAACTATCAAGACAGTGGACAGTATATTGTGATTTTCTATGCGTAGCTTAGACGTGGCACAAAGACGGATGTATGGGGTATCCAGTAAAGATGGAACTCACTACCTAGGCGTAATTAATCTAGCAAGCCAAGCTTGTTAACCATTACACCACGTCGAAGTGCCCCACGGTGTAGGTTATATATATATATATATATATATATATATATATATATATATATATATATATATATATATATATATATATATATATATATATTTCGATAGGATTTCGTCATTTTATATCATTAACTTTACTAATTTACTTTTTGTATGAATGATTCATTGGACCACCTCGAAAATTCAACGTGCGAGCTCAATTACTTCTGAGAAGTGAGTTCGATCCCCACTGGGTGCTCCATATATTCGATCTTCTTCCACATCCCAGCTATCACTATTAATTGTTTAGACCTAATGTGGCAAGCCTACTTTGCCAGTGATCAAGATAAGATAAACGCCGAAACAAATGATGAGACATTCCACAGTTGGTAAAACATTTGAAGTTGTGTCCAAACGAGACGTCATGAAGCGATGGATCTCACCAGCAAGCGCGGTGTAATTCAAGCTAGCCGTGGCTATGTAATCGTAAGAGGGATTGTTCTTCTGAATTTCCAACAAGTCCAGTCAAACTAATTCTTCCGCTGGAGACATGAAACAAGACCATTTGGCTCAATTCCAGGTACTCAGTTAGACACCGGAAGCACCAGAATCAAACGGCTTTGGCCAAATAGAGGATATAATTCTGGTGTACCCCGCAGTCACTCCTAATAAAAACAAATCAATAATAGACTTTACCGGGACGCGCAACTTGATAAATATTCCCGGGCAATTGTTCTCGTTCTTCCTAGATTATTGGGGAAGCCGATTTATTCAAGAAAATGTAAAAATTATAAGAATCATTAGTAATTTGTTACTGTATTTGTCACTTTCTCTTATATAATTACTTACATATCTAGGTAAGTATAGCCGTGTGAATCTAGTCCTGGGTATGACGATAAAATACATCTTGCAGCAAGGGCGAGAGATTGGAGGTTTTATGAAGCGCGGTACCACTTCTTAATTGCAGATGTTACCAGGTACATTTTGACCCAGGCTGGTAGCACATATTAGGGCCTCAGCTATGGGCAAATAGTGACCACTCCGCCACAAAAAACAATATATATATATATATATATATATATATATATATATATATATATATATATATATATATATATGTATTTGAAAGTAAATAATTAGATTTTTATAGGAAAATACCAGCGTTTTTTTTTTGTTTTTTTTTTATATATATAAATTGTGTTACTGGAATTTTTGTATTTTTATAAATTCATAGTGTTTTTTGCGGGGGAGGAGGGCTCAATATTTATTCATAGCTTGGACCCCCGAATAGGTGCTACCACCCATGGTCAGTACGAATCTGGGAACAACGGCAATTAAGACGTGTTTCCAAGCTAATCAAATTAGAGGCCTGCTGTCAGATGTTGTTTATCGTTGGAGCTCTCCTATTAAGAATTCCGGGCCATTATCCATTCCACCACTGGCACATCCAATATTACAGAACATGGTATTCCCAAGCGGTCACCTATTTAGGCAATGAGAAGTCCCGACCTTGCTTAACTTCTGTGATCATATACTAATCGGTGTTTCAACCTGATGATGGCCGTAATCCTCAAAATTTTTTCAGCGACCGAAAAATGTAATAATCAATTTGTGCAATGTCAGGTGAATATGGCGGGTGGTGTGGAACAGACCAACCGACTTCCAAAATTCTTTCTTCTGCTATTCTTGCAGTTTACAACCATGCGTTTTCATGAAAGAGAATAAAATTTGTCCTACTGAACAAACACAGGGTACTTTGCGACTAAAATTCCATTTACTACTTTTCAGCTATAAATGGAGATTTAGTGTTGCTTTCCATTTTAAGAACACTAATTGAATGATAGCCCAACGGTCGCATCACGCAAGCAAGATTATTCTCCTTGCTCGGCTTTAAGATTTGGGTGTTGTTTGTGTCGAAAATATACTTCTAACTCCACTGCGTTTTGCGCTGACCATTGTCGTATGCAACAATTTTTCACCATTTCACTTATTTGCTCGTAAGTGAATATAACGAACCCAACGTGAAATTGAACTCGGATCTCCGATTAAAAATTCCGAGCTATTATCCATTACACGACTCGCACACACAAGCTTACAGCACCTGATATTCCTAAGCGGTTACTCATCTAGGTATTGAGCAGGCTTGACGCCGCTTAACTTCTGTGATCGCAAGGGTACCGGTGTTTGAACCTGATGTGGCCGCAATCCTATTTACGAATTAAGAAAACATTAATCATAAAATACCTATAATTTGTTAGCCAGTGTTATTTCTGTTTTTAATTTCTAAACTCATCACAATGTATTTTAATGCGGACATTGGGACGCTATTTTTCTGAGCTCAGAGAATCTCACCATGAGAACTGCTTCTCTTTCAACTGTAAAAAAATACATGCACATACAGATTACGAGCACATAAGACAACATAGATATGAAGGCCTTAATTTTGTTGTAAATAAATAGATATATCTTTTGGCTCTCTGAATATGACAAACCAAACACTCCAGTTCATCTCGAATGCTGTTTGGAGAATGAGATAATTAAATTTCCGCGATATTTTTTTCATCGTATTTCCGTCGTCATCATGTAAAGTTCCCCTGCAATGTTTGCTCGCAGATTAAACACTTAACATAGGATTCATTTCACCCAAAGATAAATTCTTCATTTTGATATACGTATTTTTTTTATTTTTTTTTTTTGCTATCATATCATCAGATTTGCACGTGCCTTGTCAGTCTGTAATTTCATATGTTAGCAGCTTTTTTTTTCTACATAGAAAGTAAAACAGAAAGTGGAAACAAATACATAGTTTACATGTAGGACGGTTAGAAAATTGAATAAGAAATACAACGAGACTATGTATTAACACATTTATCTGAGTAAGCACCAATATAGGGATGGCGTATTATGGAAGAAAATACAATATATAAGATTGAATTTCTGATCCGTGTTGCTCGTGTAGTGGTCGAAGAATGCAAAAACTACCTGAGCATAAAAGATAAAACCATATATAAGTAAGCAAAAGACTGCACACAGACACGCGTAAATATATATATATATATATAAAATAAATATGTTGTAGTTGTTCCAACGAGAGAAAAGTATGTATATTAAAAAGAAGAGAAGAGAGGTGCCGCAAACGTTTTTGGTTGTAATGTGGATTTATTTAGAAAAAAATATTATGCTTTGTTTTACATAATTTTACGACACGTGTTTCTGGTCTCGCGACCGTCTTCAGGTAAGAGCGGAGATTTCCATATATTATTAAAAATAATTAATTTTTTCCTTATGTTCAATGTTAAATATTCTCGATATGAGACATTCTCTGTTAAAATGCCGATAACTAATTCATCATTTCGCTGGACCAACCTTAATTGTTTTATGACCCTTCGCACAGAAGTCTTCATTGCCAATTCAAGAAAGAAATTCGGATTACCAAAACACAAACAGAGAATGTCTCATATCGAGAATATTTAACATTGAACATAAGGAAAAGTTAATTATTTTTAACATGGAAATTCCGCGTTTACCTGAAGACGGTCGCGAGACCAGAAACACGTGTCGTAAAATTATGTAAAAGAAAGTATAATATTTTTTTTTCTAAATAAATCCACATTAAAAAACGTTTACGGCACCTTTTCTTTTTAATATATATATATATATATATATATATATATATATATATATATATATATATATATATATATATATATATAACGATATTGTGGTCTTATTTGAAATAGTCTCCCTGTTTTTATTTTTTTATTTATTAAATAGTACGTAATACGACTATCGGAAATTTCTGATATCCTCCGACAGAGATCGAAACTGCGTCCACCTTTGTAGATTAAACTACATTTTGATGCAGCACACTTTTACCGCTCGGTACCTCAGGACTTCACGTTAAGCAAAATAATTTGTACCCTATTTAAGGGATCGCATCCCCCTCACTCGAGAGCCCTTACTGTTCAGTGCCTTAGTATAAAAAATGGTTTTCTCTTCTCTCTATTTACAATGTCTTTTTACAGATATAATTTATTTATATCTAGATTTTTGTACACAGACGTATATACAAACACGCGCACACATACATGCACATCGTATAAAAAGCATGATAATTACATAAGGAGTATGGTCATTACATAACGAGCATGGCCATTACATAAAATAAATTCACCGATTCCACGCACTGAAATGGCACTTAAGCCCGACCAACGATTTACACTGATGGCCTTCCTGATGTCTTCAGTTCTCAACTCGGCGTTTATGCAGATGACACAACTATTTACTTCTATCTTAATATTAAGTCTGATCGGTTCGATAATGTCAAATTGACAACTGATCTCTAAAATGATATACAATCTGTTGTTAAATGGGACAAGGAATGGCTTGTTAATTTTAATGCCTCAAAAATGAAACTGCTTAAAATAGAGCAGTTTCCTTTTTTGATGCGTTAAGATCAGAAACAACAATTTTTACCATGGCTGATGCTAACCTCCAGGACAGTGATTAATTGTACATTCTCGGACTAATGTTTTCCGCAGCCATGAAGTGGAAAGCGTATATTGCTATGTCGGTTCACTATGTCGTGCTAGACAATTTTTCCTTCAGAATCTATCTTATAAATTTATAAGTCTAATATTCGTCCATGATTTGAGAGTTCCTGCCACATATGGCCTGGTGCTCTTGCGGTTTAATTTGAAATTCATGATAAAATTCAAAGAAGAATCAGAAATATTATAGACCCTGTCATGGACTGGCGTCTTAGACTGCGTTCTTTTTCTAACTTTAGAAAAATTAAGCTAAAAATAAATAAATAAAATGATACAAATATGGCGCAACTAGATAAACAATTTTTTCATCAAATAATGAAATAGAAAAACTGAGAAAGGGACGATAAATAAATAAAAAATATATTGAATAAACATTTACGAACCTATGTGGAGAGTATCGTTCCATTTCGCTAAAGTAATTGTCACCTTTGATAATGGCTTATGTAAGCCGAAAGATTAGATTTGATTTAAACATGTATCAATATGGTGATTTCCGTTTGTACTTTAATGATAATGTTATTAAGCTTATCACACAATATGAAAGGAACTTACTTAAAATAAATAGACAAAACTTGTCTATATTATTTAACGAAACATGCATCAATGAAAAAATGATGCCTAAATATACACAATATATATATATATATATATATATATATATATATATATATATATATATATATATATATATACTGTTTATAATAAAAGTATTACGGCCTAAATGTCCGAGTACGTCAGTAATAGCTGGCCACACGTCTTCGAGGATATAAGTCTACTACGGCGGCTAGCAAATCCCTATTGCAGACACTCGCTCAGGCACAATTGTGTTTGCTCAACACCCAGAGAGACCACGTGTGGTTTATATTGCAACTATGATGAGCAGACCTTAGTTACAATTTGTGGGGAGAGCGTGTTAACTAGCGTGATCAACAATTTGAACAAGGCCAGCACGCTCAAGCGTATATATATATATATATATATATATATATATATATATATATACAGGGTGCGTAAAGTATTTAAGGACACATTGAAGGCGGTAAGAAAAACATCCACATCTTACAAACGAATTTATTGTTACAAAACATTGTACACAGATGTAATAATGGGTGGATTGCATGTTTATTTGATGTAACCGCCTTCCGCGGCAAAAATGCCTGCAATGCGGGACCAGAAACATTGACATGCAAGCATCAGATGGTCTGTATTCGTATTGGACTTTACTAGGTCAGTGGGGGCTTTATGGTAATCAGTTTTATTTTGCGAACGTTGATTTGTCTTCTGTTCAACAACGCAGCACATTACCTATATCTTATCAAGGGGATTTAAATCTGAGGAGTTAGGTCGCCACATGTTTGATATGATGTGGTTCTGCAAGTTGGCTGGGGTCACCGCAGCTTTGTGAACACCGGGTGTAGAGTCCTGTTGAACAAAATCATACTATTTTCCATCGGTGAGAATGTCTATCAGTAGCTTCACAAGTGTTTCCAGCACCTCGTTTTAGCCAGCAGTATTTTACCGGAGAATCTGTTGAGAAAGAGAAGGTTGCATGATATATACTTCATTACTCACCACTCCTAAAATTATCCAAGAAGCGGGAAACAGAGGGTGCATGAACGTGGGAGAAATCAGAAGATTTCAAACATAAACAGAAGTCATTTTTCCAGTTCGTTTCGGGTCCTGATCTGATTCTAAGGTTTTTTTCTTCTGAAAAAAAAAAAAAAAAACAAAGCAAAAAAAAAAACAGAACTTTCCAATTCCTTCTGGGTGTTCCAAATTATTCAGTAACCGATTTCCTCGAAGCAACTGTTATTCTTTTGTGTGTGCCGACATGAACTGTTCTTTCCTCATCACGTATTACTTCTTTGGAATGCACCACATTGCGCATTGTGCCTTGGGACATATGGCGATTTCTGGCAAGGGCACTCAGGGAAGTTCTGGCATTCACATTGCTAATGCTTTGCACTTCACTTACGTATTATGATATCCTAATATTCTCCAAACGTTGTGAATGCTTTTCTTTTTGCGCTTCGCTGCAAGCGACAAAACCACGCTGAATTCTTCCGAACTTTGTTCACAAACGACCTGGTAACTTCGAAAACGCGTGCAAAAATCGACTTCCAGTTTAAATTTAGGAACATTCTAAAATATATTCGAAAACCTCTCTAAGTTATCGAAAGGAAGCAAACTATGGAAGACGTTAATGAATAACAAGTTTTCTGTTTGTCTTTATAAATATTGTCCCTTACAGATATATTTATATATATATATATTATATTATATACACACATATACGCTCTCTCCTCTCTCTCTAAATATATATATATGTATGCGTGTGTGTGTATATAAATATATATATATGTATGCATACATATATACACATACACACACATATATAAATTATCCTGTTTCATATATATATATGTGTGTGTGTGTGTGTGTGTGTGTGTGTGTGTGTGTGTGTGTGTGTGTGTGTGTGTGTGTGTTAATAGGAGGCACGGTGGAGTAATTGATAGCGGCTTGGATTGAGGAATCGCAGAGCCGATTTCGAATTCCAGTCGAATCCATTACATTCGCTTACGTGCTAATACCCTTGGGAAAGGTGTGAATCCTCTTCTTCTCCCTCCAGCTATGGGTAAATAACATGACAGACTG